AGATAAACTCCACTCAAACACTTTCAACCATTTTTTTTTTCTTAAAGTTTGAGTAAACGAAAAAAATGAGTAATGAAGAATTTTTAAAAAATGAATCCTTTCCCTAAAAGCCTAGAAATTCACATAAACTCATATCTGCTGATGAGCAATGGTGACAGGTTTCTGACTTCACAAAACAGTCGGTAAAGAAAATGTTCGAGTCAGCGCATGCGAGACACCAAGGGAAGTCAAATCAAAGAAATGGAAACAGGAAGGTGTGATTTCTGATCCTCACATCATCATATCTGATACAATCAAGGTGTGTGAATTCAGGTTCAAAGCACATCACTTTGATGTTTTAGTGAAACCACTCTTTTCAACTGGCCAAATCATGTTGAAACTAGACAAGATAATGACATACATTAACATACAGAAGAGGATACTCAGCACAAAACCAGTGCCAAATAATGCTCCTCCATGCAAATAGTACGCATTCAGTTCAAGCTCAAGGGAGATATGCAGTACATGCACATATGAGGTCATTTAGCTTGCTTTGATGTTAGACTGCATCTTACGAGAATCACATTCACTTTCTAGAAATGCTATAATAGGGTATATATACTGTATACCCTAGTTTAATGGTATACCCCCTTTCATAATACCTCTATATGCAATATATAAAATGTGGTGTAAATTAACTAATTAACAATATTCAAATTACTATTAAAAAAAACTTGAACTTGTACTTTAATTTGAATACATTTTAGTGCTGCTTCAGTACTTTTGCTATTTTCCTTTAACCTGAAGTCACTAATTGATGAATATTATATCAGTATTTCTATTACTTTTTTTACAAGGTAAATACATAATGAAATGAACATGTCTGTATTGTAAATTTTAATATGCTACAAGGGGTTTAATCTTATAAGCAAACAGGGGCTCAGACTCATTTAAACAGCTTCATGTGCAAATCTCTTTTGTACAAAATCTAGCACAATATTACATCCAACCCATTATGCCCACCAAGGTATTCACATAAAAAGAAGGCTAGGCTTTAGTCTAATGTGTTGTCTTTGAAAGATTCAGCAGTTGAGCTTTAGATTAAGAGTGCTTTCACACCTTTAGATTCATTGTTTTGTTCCAAAACAGGAATTACATTGTTGCAATTTGTTTTTGATGTGGTTTGCTTTCACATGGGAAAGTTTCTAAATGGACCAAAACAAGACACATGCGAGTAAACTCTTATCACATTGGTCAGAGTTACGCGGTTTATTTTTAGAGTCCTGCTCAGCTGTCATGCACCCTTATTTTAATTTATGAAGATGAGCAATAAGACATTATAAACATAAATTTGCACTTTAATTTTGAACGGTGACACCTACAGACATAGTTATCAAATAAAAATCAGAGGTAAGACTTTGTCATACATAGCTGTTTGCTAGAATTATGCAATATAAGCTAACAGATATACCAAGACTGCAGTTCGGGAAATTTTCAGATAATATTTCAGCATGCTTTCACTTTCGTATTTGACATTAAATGCACATTTACAGGTAGGAATGATGACATCCCACCCTACTCATAATTCTCTATTTATATAGCCATATATGGATAAAACATATCCATAATACACTGTGATATAGCCTGGTTCGATAGATTGTTAGATCATATTGCTTTCTCACTACAATCGAACTGCTCCAGAATTTGTTTCAATCAAGCCGAGACCACCTCAATCAGGCAATCTTGGACAGATTACTTTGGTGCAGATCAGAGCTCGATTGCTGGATTCACATATGCCAAACGAACCACAATAACTGGGCAATTAAGACAAAAGAAACAAACTAGGTGTGAAAGCACTAATATGTACAAACTCAAAGTTTTACAGCAGAAAAATCATGATGACTATGTTTGTTTGGCCAATTTTTGGCTGGCTTTGGCTTACAAATAAAAACAATCTGGGCTTTTCAGAAAAGAGTGTTGCTTTCTTGTAAGATGTTGATTTCTTGTAAGATGATTTAACCATAACATTTATGAAAGATACATAATAGTAATGCACAGATCGCAGGTGGATTAGATAAAGCATTAATACAAACAATTAGTACTTTCTTTAAAGCTGAAACATGTTAAAAACATTTTTTTAAATCAAGCTGACAGGCACAGATAGCCAGAATGCCATTTAAAATGACAAAAAAAAAAAAAAAGTAAAGATGGGGGTGAGGGTCATTATGAGAGCAGAAATACCATGAGCTTCTCCATTCCCAATAGCATCTTGTTCTGTGTTCTCGCAACCTTCCGACTTTATTCTTGGTAACCTGGCAAGACTGTCTGTTCTCTATATTCTAATTAAGAAGCAGCCATATAGTTTCTATATGTTGCAATGATGGCACCAGCGGTATTCCTATTAAAGTCTAAGGGGTGTAATAATTTCTGTGTGTTTATTTTAATAAAATAAAGATTAATCTGGAAAAAGCCAAATTTTGTTTTATAAATAAAATATTATGCCATATGTATCTTAGATAGGCCTGTCACAACAATAGAATGACAATATAATACAAAGTATACAAAGTATAACCACAAGGTACGTACACTCTAAAGAAAAACAAATAATATTTCATTCAATTATAGTCAATTTAATAATTAGGCCTTGGAATCAGAATGTGAAACTACATATCCTAAATAAATAATAGTAAATGTTAACAAAAAAAGTGCAAGGTCAAAAAGTAACAGAGGTTACCAGATCTATTTTTAAGTTATCAGACACCTACATGAAAACATACTAAATAGTTTATAGTAAATATTACCGTGTTTAACCATACTGACACTGACACCTCCAGTAGAGATAGAGATGTTGCACAGTCTGCTAATATGTTGCTAAAATAGTTTTTGTATGGGTAATATATATTGCATCACCAAAAATGATTGAGGTCATGTATACGTGTTGTGCGATAAGTAGCTATATTGATGGACACATTATCTCTTACACTACTAAACAATTCGAAATCCTGTTTAAAACAAATAATTGGTAATAATGAGACCATCAGGCACCGACAGCTACAGAAAATTATAGGTGCAGGTTGATAATTAGTTTGAAGCAGCAGATTTGGGTGACGTTTGAGCTGATCCGTGTATCTCTAGAAAAGCTAAGCTTATTGAATAAAGCATATTATACTATTCTATTACACCAAATAAACAAGGGCTGTTCCTCAATACAAAGAACGCTGAGAATGAACTGTGTTCTTGTGGAGACCAGTCTTGCCAAGTTACCTCGGAAGAACGAACTCAGGAGACCACGAGAACAGAGAACACGTAATGTAAGAAATAAGATGCTGCCTTCTTCCGGATGGTCACAGGACCTTCACACGTTTTAACAGAAACTTATTTAAATATTACAGCATTCATACAACAATTTATATTTTCCCCCTTTTCAATATACATACACTATACCTAAAGACCTTACTAATATATGCTGCACAATGTAAAAAACTAATTTTAATACAGATTTCAGCAAATAAACACCCTTAATGTATTTATGCCTTTTATAAAGATTTTTATGTTAATGTTTACTTTCACAGTCTCATTTAGGGAAACTCCTGAGATAAATAAGTTTTATTTATGAACTTTAATAATAAATCTATATTAAATGCAGTGCTTCCCACCTCCTTTATTCAGCCACAATGACTTCTGGGACTTCTAGATCAAGTTTTGAGCTCAGGTCTGCATCGATGCATCCTTGATATCAAGAACGCATCGGGAAACTTTCCCATGTCCTCCATTCTTGGGGTCTTGAGTTTTGGAACTAAACTTTAGCAGTTAATGATGATGTTACACGAGAACACAAGAGCGCTAAAGAACGCATTTTGAGAAACAGCTAAAAAGGACGTACAGCATCACATGACCTCTTGCAAATCATTTCAAAACATTCAGAGATTATATGTGAAAACTAAAAATAATGTTAAAGTTGGCAAATTCCACTGAATGTTTCAGTTAACAAAAAATCTCTAGACAGATGTGGAAACATGACACTTTCCACTTTCAAAGCAGAACCAGAACTCTAAATGAAATCAGTAGTTTGCAATTTAGGTAGTCTATTGCAGACTTAACCAAAACATTATTATTTTGCGTCACAATACAAGAGTCTGCATTCATGCAACTAACATTTTGATTGCAGCAGGGACGGTCCCAATGAAGCAACCTGTCTTCTGCTTCTTTGCTGGCAAGAAGAGGTTCCAGGTAGCATTCATGTTTCAAGTGTGGGAAAAAAAGAAGCATCTGATTACGCAACTATACATAGCCTATATGAAGGAGAGGTCACCACCCTGGAGTGGTACGTCATCAGACAGGGGACTTTTCAATTCACCCAAACATGAAAGGGGTACATAGGTGTATTCATGCTTTACCGTAAATAACTTCCAAACACCTGCTGGTAAACTATTTACACATATGAGGCACTGAAACCTCAGCAAAACATTACAAATGACTTGGGGGCTGTGTAAAAGAGTAACTAAATGAATCAAGGTCTTCATGACAAAGCAAATCAAGACATATAAACAAAATGCGATCGTGATACAAATGTCAAGTCATTTTATTGCTCATGAAATGTGTACTTCGCTGCAATGAAACAGCAAAATTGATTCTATTTCGCCTTCCCATAATGATGACTGGATTGTTTTAGAAAAGACTGTGTCATACATGCTTTAACTCACAATTTTGGGATACATTAACTTAAATCACGGGCATTTAAAATGGCCACATAGTTTAACATCTGGTTGTACATTACAAAGATAAGATAATAAAGTAAAAAAAGATAAGGCCAGATCATAAAACTGAAAGGAAGTTACCATGGAGCAAACAATCTAATCTATTGCTGCTTCAGTTGAAATGTTTTTAAATGGAAGGATCATTCACAGAATTGCAAATTGCTTATAAAATGGAAAGCCGTTTGAAAAAGGAAGTAAACCAATGAACATAAAAACGGCATTTTGATGTCTGTACTGAGGATACAGAAGGTGATGATGACTCACCACTCCATTACAATAAGAAGGCACTTCCTGTTTTGGTAGAGATTTTCATAGACGTCAACAATTTTGACGATATGGGTACAGGACGAGGCCCGCCAGTGCAGTTCCACCTCTCGTCTAGCTTTTGGGCAGTCATGAAGCATCTGAAAGTCAGAATAAAGAAGCTCAGTTAAGTAGCCATGGAAATGATCATATTAACAGCATTATAGTACATGAGAAAAACTTTTATTAACAGAATGAAAGCACAAAAGAACGTCAATGTGGAAAAAATTGTCAATTTAGAGCATTTCTAAAAAAATAAAATGAAACGTTGTTCATGTTCACATTTACTCAATACCAGTAAAAGGATAGTTCCCCCAAAAATGAACATTTTACACATTGTTGCACCCTCAAGTGGTTCCAAACCTTTATTTTATAAAGGTTCTTCCTTCTGGTAAATATTAAAGAAAATATTTAGGCAAAACTGAAATCCATTAACCATTGACTTCCATAGGAAGTAGCAAGAATAAAGACAATGGAAGTCAACGGATACCAGCTTTGATACCAAAGTCTTCTTTTGTGTTCAACAGAATAAAGAAAATCATGAAGGTTTGGAACAAGTGAAAGGTGAGTAAATGACAGTTTTCAGTTTTGGGTGAACTATCCTTTAAAGAAACCAATATTTGGAGAAATAACCCTAACTGCTGATCACAACAAATGAGAACATCTGTTCTTCTGGTCAATTGTAATTAGAAGAAAACGTTAAACAAATACTAACATTCATAAGAGACCTACTAAATCTAGCAAATGCAGGAAAACAAAATTAAGTGGCAGGGAGAAGTGGAAGTGAGTTACAGTTTATAGAGTTTTGCCTCCCTCTATGGGTAACATTGAATCATTGCCATTTTAAATTCTATACACTTGAGCTGGTGTGCGCCTTACAGTTTAGTCTGTGAATTAATGCCTTAAATTGGCACATTTCCAGCATTAGTACTCAGTCAAGTAACAATAATGTGGTCTTAGTATCAATCATGGCACTCTTTTATGAATGACAAGTGTAAAAGGGAAAAGATTAGGTGATTTACAAAAGTCAAAGCATCCAATAATAATTTCTAAATTGATCAGATTCTACACTCTAAAAAATAAATGACTGTAATTTCAATGCCAAAAAAATAACCTTAAACCAAATTATGAACTTTAACTGTAAAATCAAGTTCATTGACTTTACCATGGCTTTACTTTGGAGTTTGTTTGTTTTTTCCTCATCAGTGACGTCCATTAGAGTTTTAACTTACATCAAATGTTGATAATGTTTATTGCATTATTTTAATTATATGTGTGTTAGCAGTTATGTGAATGCTACTGAGCAACTTCTATATACTTGTATGTTTTCCTGTCTGTTTATAAATTGTGTATGATTAGCTTTGGTTCATTATACGACTCTCATCATTACCTGCTTACGGTTGTGCTTTTGTGTCTGTAATGATGTGTAGATTTTTATACTTTAAACACTGGTGTGTAATGCTATAAATGAACAAATACAGCAGTTTACCATAAATAAATTAAAATATTTCTACATTTACACAGCTGCTGTTTTTTTTTCACAGATATTTTTAAAAGTGTAGTCCACTATACTTCTATGAGACTGTACTGATATTAGTTGGATAAAAGTGTACCGTAAACCATGTACTGTACACAGATCAATTATACAAATCCTTTCAAATGTGACACGAGTGACCTTACATATCCCTTCGTAAGCTTTTCCACATTTCCCATTTTTTGGTAATTCATAGGTCATCAAATAGGCCATCGTTTTGCCCAAATGTAAACATTTTTAAAGAATACATAAATACCCATTTATTGCAAGTTTTATAAAGTTGGCCTATAAATATACTACCATAAATGCTGCAAAATAGAGCCACTTGCATTTTAACAACCAACTATTTCTATTTCACAACCTATAAAAATGTAGCCGTTTTAGAAGTGTTAAGAGCATTAAATCTTTGTAAATGTCAAATATAGACTCAAATTCTCTAGACCAGATGGACCAATGACCAAATGTCACTGATGGCACCATCTATGGTTCAGTTGTAATAACTTTGGTCAAAAATAACCTTCTTTCAATTGAAAGAGATATTTGGAGAATAAAGTGCACAACGCCTCGCAGACTTTATTTTTTAAAGAATCTTGTTTTAGGATGCTATGGGGTTCTACGTGAGGGTCAGAGTGTCCCAGAGTAAAAGCATGAGAGTTCTCCTTGTGTGATATGCTGCTTATTAACCAATAGAGTGAGTGGAGCTTTATTCCCCAATCAGTAGTGACCAAACCAGCTGTGGGCGACACCCATTTTAAACAAACAGAAAAGCAACTGCGAGCATGGAGACTACCTAACAGAGGCCAGAATGAAATAATAATTTTATTCACCCATAAAGAAGTTTAGACAAAGAACATAGATACTTTAAATAGGTTTGGCAGATACATTAAAACTTGAAGAAACTTAAGAGTAAACAAGTTTCATTCTATGAGTCTTAACATTGGGTGAGGCAGTGGCGCAGTAGGTAGTGCTATCACCTCACAGCAAGAAGGTCGCTGGTTCGAACCTCGGTTCAGTTGGCGTTTCTGTGTGGAGTTTGCATGTTCTCCCTGCCTTCCCGTGGGTTTCCTTCGGGTGCTCCGGTTTACCCCACAGTCCAAAGACATGTGGTACAGGTGAATTGGGTAGGCTAAATGGTCCATAGTGTATGAGTGTGTGTGTGTGAATGTGTGTGTGGATGTTTCCCAGAGATGGGTTGCAGCTGGAAGGGCATCCGCTGCTTAAAAACTTGCTAAATAAGTTGGCGGTTCATTCCGCTGTGGCGACCCCGGATTAATAAAGGGACTAAGCCGAAAAGAAAATGAATAAGTCTTAACAGTGCATATATAGAGGATGAACCACAAATCAAACACTCAGTAAACTCCTTTATGAGCAGATGCTCATGCAGACGCATTGAACAGCTTAAAAGTGTGTAATTCCACACATACTGACTTCATGTAACACAGAGACATGTAAACAGTGAACACAAGACATTGTTTCTTTTGAATTGTGCAGAAATAAGTTTAAAGGTCAGCGCTGATGTAAAACACCTGCATTAGGATCATTACATGATCATTTATAAATGTGACAGGCTATGAGTAGTAGCTATAATCATCAGAAAGATGTCAAGCATGCCTGTGCAACTTTTTTTCCCAAGTGGTGCTCGCTGCAGAGCCATAAGGGCAGAGCTGAGCTAAAGCAAGGGGGAGCTTGAGCTCTCGCTCCACCTTTTTTGCACTTCTTCTACGAGTGAAGCCTGATTTATACTTCTGCGTCAGGTGACCGGCGTAACCTACGGCGCAGGCAACGCACGTGGCTATGCATTTATACTTCTGCGCGCTGTCTCTGTTGATCTGCATTAACACTTCCGAAACGCTAGTGGGCAGTGTTTTGCTTTTCCTGAACACTTCCGGGATGTACAAGTGGCTCAAACTCGCTCATTTTGAGGCAGAAACCGGCGGACGTGCAACAACTTGCAACACAAAACAAAACTTTACATCCGGAGCTCCTTCACGGGATTCCACACTTGTAAACAATCGCTCGCGCCATTCGCGCGGCTTTCGGTCCCGCCCAGACTCGTCAGTGCTACCAAGCCGACCAATCACAGAGCTTGCGCTACGCATCGTTGCGGCGTGTAGTTACAATTTTTGAGAGGTGCACGTCAGTGACGGCGACGGCCACGGCGAAGGGCTATGCGTCAGCGCCGTAGCATACGCCGGCGTTTGACGCAGAAGTATAAATCAGCCTTGATGTCACTGGGGGTAGGGTTAGGGGTGGGGTTGATGTACGCATTAAAACAGCTTACAGGAGGAGGAGCAAGAGCTCATGCTCCCCCTCGCTGGAGCTCAGCTCTGCTCAAATGGCTCTGCAGCGAGCACCCTCTCTTTTTTCCTGACAGATCTCTCAAATATATGAACAGAATGTCATACTCTTTTAATTGTTTTTGTGCATTCTGGTTCATTAACGTTGCACCAGTGCACCACCAGTGAAAGTGTGCGTCTGTGTGTGTGTGAGAGTCTGTTTTTGTGCAGGTGCAGTGGGTTCAACTCATACTTCTTTAAAGTCAGATTAAACTGATTCTTCAACCAGTGCAGAGCAAAATTTTTGACATGTCAGAAGACCATCTGATTGCTGATCGGGAGCGTTTAAATCAACTCTCTGCCCCCCCTTGCACGAACACAGTATAATAAACAATGCATGACAAACCTGTAATTCAGTATATGCCAAGCTTAAAACAGTGGTGTCCAAAAGTCAAAGTCAGCTTTATTGTCAATTCAACCACATGTACAGCACAGATAGAGAATCGATATTACGTTACTCTCAGACCCTAGGTGCCTAACATATAATGTTAATACAAAAAGTAGAGTTTTAAGAAAGATTTCACAAAAAATACAATTATACATAAAATGTAATCTAAATATATACCTAAAATTTTGTCTAAATATATACAAAAAATGTGATTTAAATATATACATAAAATGTACTCAAAGAATAAAAAATTGTAATCAATACAATACAATGACATTAAAGGCATATGCCAATGACTGCAAAATTCAACCAGTGTTCAAACAAATGCCTTTTTGAGTACCACTACATCCATTTTTATTTAATTTTTAAATACATTTTTTTATTTAAATTTTTATTTAATTTATTTATTATTTTTTTTAGATCAAACTAAAAGACAGAGTGCCAGCATCCTTAGTTTAGATCAAACTTGCCTCAATATACCTGTAAGGATGCATGTATTATGCCTAGTAAGACATTAATTAGCTGCAACGTGTGTTTAATAATTAAGGGAGGAGTGAAACTAATCAGGACAGGACTGAACATCCCTGGTCTAAAAATATAATAAATAAATATGGATGTAGTGGTACTCAAAAAGGCATTTGTTTGAACACTGGTTGAATGCATCCAGCATATGATTATTTTGGAATGCACTGAGACACAAACGCAGCACAAAACCTTATGACCAAAATCATAGTTGGCTGATTACAAATCAAATCTGAAGTGTAGTTGCAATCAACATTCATTGCATTTGCCTACTTAAATGCACACATGTGGTCTGCATAATATCAGTTTGCCAATTCAACA